TATATATATTATATGTACTCCAAACCATTTCAAAGAAAATTAAAACAAAAATGCGTTCGGTCTAAGTCAAAAGTGACAATGATTTTCCCGTGTAATTTGGCCTAAGTCTGACATGGGTCAATTCGTCACTCATTCATATGCCCTATGACTGACTTAGGTCAAAACCTGAACAATTTTCTTACCCTTAGTCTTGGATCTGACTGTACATTTCAGTAAATTTATTTTAAGATGGCCCAAGTCATTCAGAATTGAAAAGCGAAACAACAAATTATAGATCAAGTCATTTTGTAAAATGGTCTAAATCAGAGTCTAAATCAGAGACGACATTCACGCAATGGCTCAAGTCAGAGCCTAAGTCTGAGGCCACGGTCATGAAATGGCCTTTGTAAGTCAACTCCCATTATTTGGATTTTAGTGGAAAATAACTATTAGTACTAATGAGGAACGGTAAATTAATTAGCTCTTTATTCTTCAATTATCTCCGAAGTGTAAAATAGTGTGACCTAGGCCAAAAAGGTAGTAGCTTGACCATGTCTGAGAGAGCCAACAAAAAGATAATCAGTTGGTCACTCGGGTTTGGCTGATACTCATATTGTCGCATTCTCATCTCCTTTCCTGTCCACTCCTCTTTCGGTCAAATAGGCCATCTGCCATCCACCCATCCGTCCATCCATCCATCCATCCATCCATCCATCCATCCATCGATCCATCCGTCCGTCTGTCAGTCCGTCTGTCCATCCTTCTATCTACCCATCCATCCACCCACCCACTCACTCATCCGTCAATCCATTCTTTCACTCCTATAGATCTATATTCATCGGTCTTTACATCCTTCCGTCCATCCATTCGACTTCTATCTAACTGTGCGTTTTTCTAAAGTGGGTCAGCCTTTCTGCTTGTTTGTCTGCTAGTCTGTACGGATAACTGTCCACCCGCTTGAATTCTTTTGGCTCCATCACCCATTCTTCCTTCCATCTGTATTTCTTTTTATGTGTTTGCTTCTCCCCTCCGAAAAAGTTCCTGCCCATCCATTCTCCTTTACCACTGATATTCGTATCGGTATGCAGACGCGAGAGAGCATTGATCTGCAGCCGATCCATCAGGCTTAACCCCTGGCTTAAGACGGTGTATTTCGTCGATGGAGAAAGACAGAGAGAGAGAGAGAGAGAGAGAGAGAGAGAGAGAGAGAGAGAGAGAGAGGGG